GGGGGGGGTTTGGATTTTTTGAAGGGGGGCCCCCGGAGGCCAAACCCCCCCCCCCCCCCCCCCCCCCCCCCCCCCACACACACACACACACACAGACTTAGCCTGGGGTTAGGGGCCCGCTGAAGGGCCCGAAATTTTTGATATTTTAGAGGGCTTACGGTGCCATTTGGTACAGTTTAGAACTATGATTCAGCTAGTCAAAATTCTTATTTCGAAGGGGGAATCAGCCCCCCCTGACCCCCCTCTAAATCCTCCAATGGAGATGCCATCTGTTCATAACTGGGCCAAAGTATCACCTTGCCGAACAACCAAGGCCAAGGTGTACTGCAAAAACTATCATGATTGTGTCGCCCCATTTTGTTGAGAAGGGATGATTGTGAAATAAAGGTATCAAAATGTTGAAGAATTTTTTCACTTAAACTCTGTTTCGCTTCATTATTTTCGTTTACCTGGTGACACTCCTTCCAGTGAGAAAAAAAAAACTCAGTTACAAGATGTCAATATGCTCATAACATCTCCGTCACAGTCAACCTTTATCCCCTGTCTCTGGTAATGGACCCATCTCTCTCTGACAGAAGTTACAAACGACAGGTATATAAGGTGAGGCTTCGCACAATTCTGTACTCAGTTCAGATTTTTCCAGCAGTTTCTCTATCGCAAGTCGGACGCAGGACAGTTCAGGGGGTAAGTTGAGCTTGGAGAGGAACTGGTCTTCTTACTATCTCATGTTGTATCCAGATTATTTATTCGAGCATTTCTTGAGAATTTTGAGAAAGGTGGGGTTTTTTCTTCAACCTTTAATCCTGCTTGTATTTACTTTTCTATTTCTAATTTACAGCAAATTCACTGTTGGTGTCACAGTAATGGGGACAAACCAAGTGATCTTGTTGATCTGTTTGACTGTCGCTTATGTCTCTGGTAAGTCGGGATTTTATCAATTTAAAGACTTTATTCCTGTGTGCGTAATAGCATAGAGCGACTGTCCAGTATCTGCAGCGTGTATTTGGCATTTTTCCGTTGTTCTTCGTCCACGCTTATGTCAGTCTGAGGCTTAACTGATAGGCCTTAGTCATAATTTAGTCACGACAAACGCAGAATTACTCTGTAGTGTACAGAAGTCTGCTCTTTCATGACGCACAACACTGTTGTGAAAAATCTCCATGGGCAGAACTAGAAAAATATCTGAAGAAATATTCAAGGACCATGGTACCGGGCAACGCAAACTAAAAGCGAGTAGATCCGACGTGCTTATAGAATAAGCATTGCCAATTTGCAATTTTACAATATTTTTTCAGTATTCTTCTGATAGAAGTATTTAGATTTGATCGCATATTTTTCTTAGAAATATGTTAAAAACCAATTTCTTATGTATAGAATGCGCCCTACTTATTTCAGGCACGCAGTATCCATACTACGATTACACAAGATGGCCGGACCACTTGACTGTGCCAGACGAGTCGCCTGACGGAGTCGACATTTTTGATTTCGGTAGCATAAAATCAGAAGAGGAATGTGCGTTGCAGTGTAGCGGGGTAAGCAGGATAGATATTCTGCATATTTTGCATGTTTCGTGTATGTCATGTTTAAAGATGGCGCAAGTATCATTGCCTAGCTTGGATGTCCATTATTGTCCTTGTTCAAATGCATTGCTCTGTTCATTTAAACGGACTCTGTAGGTTTGTAAGTGATGCTTAAATCGTAAAATTTTAGGAGCCGGGTTGTATGGCCTATACGTTCATAAAGAAGATACCTGTTCCACCAACTACTCCCACAACAACGACGACCACGCCCACGACGACGACCACGCCTACCACTACTACCACGCCCACGACGACGACGACCACGCCCACCACCACTACCACTACGCCTACCACTACTACCAGCACCACACCACCGCCAAAAACACCACCGCCAAAAACAACACCGCCGCCAACACTACCACCAACACCGCCGCCAACATCACCGCCAGGACTACCTGACCTCGGTGGAGACGAGGGTGATTTGAGACGTCGCAAAAGGAACATCGATGATCACCTCCATTTACATCGACAAAAGCGTGATGGTCATAAGGGGAGGAAACCACAATTTTCCTGTGTCGGTAGAAGTAACAGAGGGGCGATAATGGAGGATAAATATCGCACTAAGGAACCTGGTTATTTGAGTGTTGAATACCACAGCGGAGTAAAAGGAGACAAAAATGGAGCGATTGGTAAGTTTCTGAAAGCTGTTGTATTAGGTAAGGCCCCTTAATGTTTCAGTCTCAATCACTTATAAGATAATTTTTTCCATAAAGCTCATTCCTCAGTTTTTGTTTGATTGACAATGATATATAAACTTGTCACATCTACGTCTCCAGTTGTCACCGAATACCGAATGTCAAAATGTCTTGTTTTTACATCACCCCCCCCCAAAAAAAAAAAAAAAATTGATGTATGAACCAATAAATAATTGACTTTTTATACAATATATATTTTGTCTCCAGTTGTCACCGAAAACACTGAATGTCCAAACGGCTGGGTTCCCACACAATGTGACTGCATCAACAGAGACACACCATTTGCCTGTGTGCCGAGGTTGTACCGTGATAACGACGGCAATACAGGGAAACTGAAGTGCGTAGCTGAACCTACGGTTGATGGGGCGGTTAGTGATGATGTGATTGTGAGTATACGTTTGAAGCAAAATTTCATTTAAGTTCTTTGCATTAGAACCTTTTTACCAAGTTATAAAGAAAAAAAAAAAACGTGTAGAGGCGGTGCCCAAAAGTAGTATTTTCTATATCCATAATATTTTACTGTCACAGCAACATTTTCGGCGTGTTTGATTTTTCAAGATATTTCCAGTCATGTTAGGAGAGCAGAATATACACAAAACCAGCGACATCTATCGATCTCAACGCAAATTCTTTTCGTTGCAGTCTGTGCTCACTTGTGTGGACCCCACAGTTGCTGAGATAAGCTACAACGAAGTAACACCTGACCCAGATGCTTCTACCCCCGACTCCCTTCGACCAGTGGTCACGTGTCCTGATGGCATGGTGGCTCCGGAGATGATAGGGTGTACCATATTTACCAATGATACTGAGTAAGTGTCTTAGTGTCTTTAAATCTAAGTTTTCCGTCAAAATTAAATTGTCTTGAAATGTAAAAAAAAAAAAAAAAAAAAATGAAAACAAAGTTGTACACGTTCTTTAAATTACTTGGATGGGTGAATTTTTATCGCAACCCTCAACTTTTTACCTTCTGTTCTGCTAAGCAGATAATGTCGTGTAATTAATATATTTATCCTGCGCCTGTTTTCATCAGACTATTTGGAAAAGGGCAATTCATTCATTTCTTTATTCCCACAGTCCTTCTGTTGGTGCTCCAAGACCTCTGTTTGATGTTGACGTCGGAACTTGCACCCCAGATAGGAACGTCACCGCAACCTCTGGAACAGACGTAGAAATAGTTGTCACTTGTAGAGAAAGTAAGTGGGTTTTGACTAACAGTGAAGTCAATAGTTTAAAAATTATATAACATCAAGAATGATTTAATCTACAAGTAAGCATGCCTACTTAATTACAGTAAACAGTGCACAGACATAAATAAAGTGCAAAGATATTAAAACACACTATTTAATTAATAAGATCAATGCAAATAATATAAATCACTGCTTTTAGATGTTTTCCCGTGGGGAAAGTGGTCGGATTGTGACGAAAATAACCGAAGAACTCGTAGAAGATTCTATAGTGTAAGTATTCAGTCAACACATTTCCAGATCCAGGTGTGAAATTCGTGTTCTATATTAGAAGAGACTGGGGCTAGTTGGACCCCGGGGTAAGTTGGCCCCCCTTCAATTTACGACAAAGTAACTATGGGGTAAAAGAATTGATCACATCATTTTGTAAAGTTATCGTATCCAATAGTACAAAGAAAGCGGCAGCAGTGAGTCCAAATGAAATAATTTAACATCTTAAAGTAACTTTATTAAAGATACTTGATTGGGGGCCAACTTACCCCGGGGTACAACTAGCCCCGGTCTCTCCTATCGCTAAAAATTCAAAGAAAATCGACAGCATGTAATAATAATCATAAATATATTTCAAACGGTTCGTTACATGTGCAGTATAAATACTAATCCTTTGTTTTCTAGGCTGGTAGCTGCGCTGGTAGAGGCGTTCTTGACACACAGGAAGAAACTGGTCTTTGCAATCGTAAGTACGGTACATTACGTTCAAATTAAATATGTCGATTATTTACACAGGTTCCTGTCCACAGTACCCACACAATTTCAGGTTTTTAATACATAACAATCGATTAATTTTGATGTGGCTACCAAGAAAATTTGTTCTAACCAGGCGTCATTTCTTGTTTTAGTGGGACCTGTGGGCGACAGCGACATCGTTTTCGTCATCGATGGATCTGAAGGCGTCGGGCAATCCAATTTCCGTCGGGAACTGGAGTTTGTGAAGCGAATCATGCAAGCTTTTACTGTCGGAGAAAACCACACTAGATTTGGTGTAATCCAAGTTTCCGGAAAATCCAAGATCGAAATTTATTTGAACGACACATTTGACATCAACAGGCTGATGCAGTTGGTGGATGGATTGAGTTACATGGGAGGAGATAGAGATACACATAATGCCCTAGTGATGCTTAAGTAAGTGCAGTTTTCGTTCTATAAGTCACACAATGAAACTTGACTAGTCACTCAAGATTAAAACAGATATTAATATCATTGATCTTTTTTATTTAATATTAGAAATTATATTTTGTACTGTACACATGTAAGTATACTTCTACGCGTAGATTAGTGAGCCAGCAGATGTCGAATCGTGTACACGTTTAGTGCTCAATATGCATTATTATTATTATTATAATTATTGTTATTCACATTTTACGTCAAATCTCAATTCAAGACATTAAAACCTTTTTACTACAGCGACACCATCTACAACGAAGATGAAGGTGGTCGCCCATGGACTCCAAACCTTGCAGTCTACATCAGTTTTGGCAAGTCGACGAACCCTAAAAGAACCATCTCTGAGGCAAATGGGGTAAGTTTACCCTCAGAGTTATGAAATTGATTTTCGGTGCCTTTTTAATTGTGTGCAAATTGACAAGATTTGCTCAATAGACATTGCAATGTCTTGTAAGAGATAATCATTTTTTTGAAAGATTTCTTTTAAAAGATTGAACTGAGAGATTAAAATCGCACGGTAACATAGTTAAAATGAAAATCGTCAAAATGGCTGACGTAGTTTTTAGATATTTACATATATTTACTTGGTCGTTTTTGTACTTGTAGACTCACGATGCCGGCATTCTGTGGGCTAAAGGAATCGGCGTTGGACCAGCTTTTGATGCCCCGGATGCGGTAGAGGAAGTGGAGGGCATTGTTTTGCCACCAAATGACGTCTACGTGGACATTGCCGACCTGAACCTTGCTTTGGTCGAGTGTGTTGCGGGCAATTTGACCAAATTAGGCGACCCCGATAGCGAACCCGGTATGTTTTTTATGTGTGATTTTATCTCCGCGATTTTCTGATTTTTTGACAATAGTGTTCACACGTTCTATAGGTCCAGACCCTTATTTCTACTTTTTATTTCAAGGCATCGAGAGAATGGTTGTTTTCATGAACTGGTCGAAATGACTTCAAATTTCGTATTCTACTGTCAAACATGATGCAACTTTTACGTGAACCCAATGTGCTATAAGGCACTACTTGGTCCTATTATGAGCATGCTATCACTTTTACATTAATTACCCTCCACATTGAATATGGATAGTATTTTTTAAGTCTATAACTATTTTTGATGCACATTAAGACATCCTTATGTTAAATTATTATTCAGGTCTGCCCTATACAGAGTGGACTCCATGGTCTAATTGTTCTGTGCCCTGTGGAGGTGGCGTACAACGGAGAACTCGCCGATGTTTGAATCCGCAGAAGTGCTCCAATGGTGTAGGAACTGTAGAGACGAGACCCTGCAATGGCCACTGTTGCTATGGTATGTGCTTTATGATCCCGGTGTAACGAAACTGAGGGTCAGTGTAACAGAATGTCCGCCCTCCATGTGGTTATAATGGTTAGGGTTAGCCTGACCTAAGTGGGTCAAAATCTAGGACGAGGCTGACCTGTACAAATGAATGGGAAGCGGACTCTCTGTTATGGGGGGCTCTGTCACGTTACGCCTGTCGAGTGTTAGCATTAAAAAGCAATAACCTGATAAATTGTGACTCTAAAGCATATTTGTGACGAATGTCGGTTAATTATCTGAGCTTGATAATCTCAGTAGCATATATATTATGTAGTTTCCTTTTTTCTTCCTGTCGGTTGTTTCGTTGATTGTATAGAGTTCAAAAATTAAAAAATCTAGTTCGACACCGTGATAATGTTACACTTCTATTTCACTTCTATTTTTTTTCTATTTCAATAACTTCAGTCCTGTTTTTATTTACAGCTACTAGGCATCACGTTCACTTCGACTGCTCTAAGCCCGGAACACTTTTCATCTCCTGTCACAACGACTTTGACAGTCTCTTAAGGGTAAGTTTCATGATTTTGACCCAAGTTTCAACCGACTGTAATTATTTTGGCTCCTTTTTTTCCATCCACATTGTGTCAACTGCATGCATTTTATGCGTCTTAAGTTTTAGTCAGTTAACCTAGTCTTTTCTTAGTTCCGTTAAGCTGTAATAATATATCATCTTTTATGCCCAAGAATATTACTGGATAATTTAGATATTACGAGAATAATTCCTTAAATTTATCTATTGAAAAAAGTTTTTATTTCGTTACCACCGAAATCTAGTTTGTCTCCAAATGGAATATTAATATTTGCTTATACTCGACTTACCCTGGCACCTTTCTGAAATTTTACCATAAAAATTTATACACCTCGTATTTCTGTTCTGAGATATGCTTGTATCACCATTTTACAATTCTAGATTCACAGAGTAGTCAACTGCTACAATGATACACATTGTGAAGATTTTAACGGCATCAGGTCTTCTCTGAAAAATAAATGTGACAATGAAGACGAATGTGCTACTATCTATCCATGTGGACTGAACAACCCCCCTTCGGTCGTTCTAAATGTTCTTTACGAGTGCTGTTATAACCCGTTTGTTGGTAAGTTCATCTCGACTTGACCGTTCATTGTCAAAATTCAAATACCTCAGTAAAATCTTTGAACATTTCAAACATTGTCTAATCTGTCCGAATAACATTGATTATGACACACGTCGACACACATATTTGTCGATGGTCGGTAAAGGGTGGACGGCGACAATTCCAAAGCATATGACATTTGTAACATTGCATCTTGTTTTTCCAGTGGGCCACACTCATCCTCACAACCACGGCCCTGAGGGAGACCATCACGGACCTGATAATGGCGCTCACGGACCACACCGCAGCCCACATCGTAGTCCTCACCGTAGTCCACACCGTAGTCCACACCGTAGTCCACACACTCACCTCCACTTCCACAGCCCTGGATCTCCAAATGCTCCTCTACCAAACACTGCCGGCGGATGGGAATCTCACTTGCACGAAACCCCTGATGCTTTGACTCCACGATCGCCACATTCTCACCGTTCACGCCATTCTCACCATTCTCATCATTCTCACCACTCTCACGGCCACGCCCCTTCCCCTGCTCACCGCACTAAAGGCGGGAAACACACAAAGCCAAAACGCCGCCGTTACTAAGATCAATAAGAAACGAACTGAGTTCGACAGAATGGCCGTCATGTTTCGAGACACATACTTGTAACATATAGCACATTCCTACTACCGTATTTTTAACCTCTTTGTCGTTTCTACTTTTAATACATGTTTTTAACAGTTTATTTTATTCTAACGTATGCAGAAGTTGATTTTTGTACCCAGATAGTTTTGTGAATTTTTGGACAGTATTTGAGTTTTAACATATTTTATTATTGTTCATTCATTTCTTGTATTAAATATATTGGGAGAATGGCTTTTGTTTTTCTCTTGTATTTCAACGAAGGAATATTTCAAAAGGTGCAATTTATACCCTATCCGATGTAACCATTTGACGTGTCCGTCATGAATCTGCTGTTTCATACGTATTGGGCTCCATGTAACATTTTTATCGTTTTTCCAATTCATGAATGATAATAATTCACCTACTGTACAATTGAGCATCAAATTGGAACAACTTAAAATTTTAAACTTGTTTAACAGCTACACAACCAATATCAAAAATGACGTATTGTAGACTACAATCATTTTCGTTTTGCCAACATACAAGATCAAATCGCTGCATATACCAGTTCACTAAAGATGCCATCGAATGCCTGATTTGAGGACCAGGTTATAGAGCCGTGACACGTAGACTGGGCGTTATCAAGATCTTTTATATCGTAAGCAAGCTTCGTTAAAATGCCCTCTATTTCCCCGACCAAAAGTGTGTGCATTAATGTGCATTATAAACAAGGTGAAAATGCATGTCTGTATTAAAAACAGTATTGTATCGACCTTTACATATTTAGTATGTTTAGCATGTAAAAGAACATCTAAATCACAATCAAACAGAGGGCTTCAGAACGTTTGAATTTTCCTTATCTGCGCAGATAATACTGAAATAAAAGTTGTCACGTTCTGTGATGATGCCGTCGCATCAAAAATACATTGGGCGAATTGTCTAATTCAAGCTGGTGACGTAACAGCAACGTCCTTGGGGAAGTAATTTAATGTCGCTTTCAAGACTACCCTCACCAGAAAAGCTACCAGTGGCGCTTAAACGCTTATTTTATTATAACACAGTTATAAAAGGCTCTTAAAAACATAAACAAAAAATGTTAACAACAAACGCTCGGACCATGTGGTAATTCACTCCCTTGTTGTCGATCATGCCTTGCAGGTCTTCGGTACAAGTAATTGTTTCGTATATAAAGATTGAAAGCCCCACACAGCGAAAAGCATAATTTTACTTCTTTCATATACCATTCAAATTAGTTGCAGGCAAAAAAACTACTATTTTGTCCATGTTACAAGTTATTAGGAATAGAATGTTCAACAATGATTTAGGTATGCTTCCTAAAATGTTCACATTAATGACAAAGGTTTCCCCAAAAACTGTGCAAAATATATTTCCTACGCCTTGCAAATAAGGAACAAAAATAACTTCTTTCATTGCTGTAAATTCGTGCCGTGCCCTCAACTGAATTGCATATCTGCCATTTGTGACTGCGTGTTCTTTTATGGATGGCCAGAATGAAATTCTTAATGATTGACGACTTTGAAACGAGCAATCACAAGGACATAAACAGAAAAAAATAATAGAAATATTACAAATGAAATAAGTAATAGAAAAATTACAAATAAAATAAAAGAATAGGCGAGAGGGCTAAAGGTATCCTCAAAAAACAGGGCCACATTATTTACTGCTTTATATAAGCAATGAAAGCTGAAAATGTCATTTAATACATATAAAGCATAAAAAGCTAGATAATTTAGTGATACACAATTAAGGAAAAAAACATATCGATAAAGAAGTCATCTGGAACAGCTTATTGAATAAATTATGATTGCCGCTGTCTGTATGATACCCGATAATGCGATGGCAGATCTGCAGCAGTCACGTGTCATTCCTTAACTTGCGAAGAACCCCCTTGTCCACCTTTTCCCGTCTACTAAAATCATGACTGGCGAATATATACAAAACTAACCACATCTGTCATCCTTCTGCCGTTCACTGTTCAGTTAAATTGCCATTCTTGACCACCTTAGATTAGCAAAACAAAAAGAAGCAAATATTTTTCCTTTCTTCCTACATGTGTACCCCTGAACAAAATCTAGGATCCGCTAGAGTCACGAGTCCAATTTACGATTCAGGGCTCCAATGAAGCAACAAGAAACCTCAGCGACAGTTGATATCGTGGACATCACTCGGACCTTAGTGACTCTTATTATCACGACTGATGGATTACTACTAGAGTGTGGGGCTACCGAGGCAGGCACGCCTTCGCTCATCAACCAAAGTGAGGTGCCTTATTTTATGATAACTTCTACAAATTCTCTCGTTCACAAATAATAAAAGCAAATTAGAATTAAAGTAAAAATTTGTAAGTCAGAAACATACAAGCATATCAAACTGAATGTACCTTAGAGATAAGCAGAATTGGAATAACTAGGCAAACTGAAATCTATAATTTTTATTTTTTATTTGTATGATAGAACTGTTATCGATTTTCATTTTGCTCTAGATTTCTTCTGTGTGGAATGGATTTGTTTATACTTTGTATATTTATATTCAACAAAAATATCCATCTCAATAAAAATGCATTATTTAAACGATCTTTGAACTTATCGTGGGGTAGGAGAGAGAAAATAAAAAAGAAAATAAAAATAAATTAATTTATCCATAATTTTTTCAAAAGTTTAGATTAAAATTTAATCTTCGGTTTAGGTGATTTTGACAGTTACTCATGATCAGTTTATTTTTTTAATGTGCTTGTGTCTCATCTCAGTGCTTTTCTTTGGAAATAATGGGATGATGATAAAAACCTATCAGTGCTTACATTATGATTCTAAAATTATAACATTATGATTCTGGTTAATGATACGTAAAATAACGTTAATCATTAATATGCCAGATCATGGTAGTTACTGATACACATTGTATATAGAGCTGCACTTTGTCAAATATAGTGAATATCATATTGTATCACAGAGGTCGGGCACGTTATCCAAGCATCCCCAAAGATACAAAGTGATAGAAATTGCCCTAAAGAAATAAATGATTAAGCGAGAGGGTCAAATTTGTTTAGCACATATATGTGCAGTGGAAGCCGAAAAGCTATCAAATATAAAACATAACAAAGGCAAGACGATAGTCGCACACAAAATGAAATATACTATAAACGAGACCGTTTAATGAAATATTTATAATTACTACTACAGTATACAGCCCTGAAACACGCAGTGGCGTTCTTATGAGATATCCTTTCGCCTCCTTCTTCCTTATAAAAAGCAGCATAACGAGCAAAGGGTGACAAAACCAATCATATCTTGTTAACCTGTGCCGTTCATATTTCAGTTAAATTATCACTGTTTTTCCGTACCCCCAATTCCCACTTCCCGCTGAGGAAAATATTGGATCTACCGGTGACATGATCTAGTCATTCGTTTAGCTAAAAAAATGCCGATAAGACTGTACTTGGCCTCACTGATTAGGCCTTAGTCACGTGGAAAGTCTGCACATTAATAACTCTTCGTATGAGATCTATATTTCACAATAAAAACATTGTGAACAACTCATAGAAATAAAATATATTCTGTTGTACCACACAAACGGCGGTTATAGCTATAATTCTGATATCTGAGCTTGCCTTTAGACCACGTGACCCCCATTGATGGCTAAACTCTATTATCTCTTAAGTCGTTCTTAAGAGATTAAAACAAAACAAAAAAAAAAACTTTTTAGAAAAAAAAAACAGGGACTAACTTTGAATGTAGAAATGGATTCATTAACCATTGGTAAGTATGGGAAAATTGTTGTTTACTCCAGGAAAATTCATTTTTTGGCCAAAACGAAGAGTTATTATCCCTTTAATTGAACCCGGATGAAACCATTTCTTAAGACTTAGTACACTGATATAACTGAACCTGGGCTTGGTATGAAGAATCACCTAAAATGATGTTATGTTATAGGGTATTTCTGCTTGTATGTCTGGCGGTGGCACAAGTTATAGGTATGTCAAGATTGTACGCAGGTATTTGATACAGAGGGAGATTTTCTTAATTACGATATGTATTAGTACATGTGTAATTCTGTTGAGAATTGTACTAAGTTCTGTTTGTCCGCCATAGGAAATCCATTGGTTCCTCTGTATTGATCATGATAAGAGTAATGATGTTGAGACCCTTACTGACCAAAATGTCTCACAATAGAAGACTGGATATTTTCATCATTCAATGACAAACTTTTAATAAAGTCAAAAAAATTAGTCTGCACTCAAAAATAACAATGTTAAAAATATTCCATATTAAGCGTAAACCCTGAATAGAGGTCATTCACCTGGATAGCAATCGAAATATAAGAGGAAAACACTATTTCAGCATTAAGCTGTTGAATGAAGAAAAATTACTTCGTTCTTATAACAAAACAAAGCTGATGAAATTCTACTCTGGGTGACATCCTTTGTTTTCATCAATTGTTTATTCATTTGTTTTTTTAAGTTCACCATGATGTGACATTTAGAGGGGCACGAGCAGATAAGACTATACCCGCATGTAGCAATTTTAACACTGTGACATGTTGTAATAAGTACCTCATTAATTAACATGAATTTAAGTACCACTATCGGTGTTTCATCGTCACTGTTGGTTCAAATACCGACAACAATACTTCATTAAATATGGCCTACATTTCAAGTTCGTACCCGCGTACGCTTGTGACTATCACTCGTAGTGTATTTTAATACATTAAAATGGGCATATAAAAACAATCAGGGTTACGCTGATCAGGAGTATAGGTTCATGTAACGAATTGTTCTGACTCGTGCTCCGGTGCACTTCCGGAAAAACTGCAAGGAAATGGAACCAAAACATTTGACAGGGAAAAAAGGTAATGTAACCACTCGAGTAACGTTATATAATAAATAGTGTTTCTACGTCATTCTCCTTAAACGCTGAAAACCAAAAAGGCAGCATCAGGATTTTACTGCTCTCTGTGTGTGGGTGTGTCGCGGGAGCGGGGGGGTGGGGGGGGGGTGGGGGTGGGGGGTAATGCATGACACAGTAGACGAGGATACTTTTAATTTGATATGTAAGACAAAGAAATTAATAATATGCTTGGTTTTGTCTTGTTTAGCTAATTATGTCTGTTTTTGAAAGAAAGGGTGGGGGTTATATGCATGAGACACTAGACGAGGATAATTTCAATTTGATATCTAAGACAAAGAAATGACTAATATGCTTGGTTTTGTCTTGTTTAGCTAATTATGGCTGTTT